AACAGTGTTGTCTGCATCCATGAGTTGTTTTTCTTTCTCTTTTTTCTTCTTTTTGGTCAATCGCTTCATCCACTGCCCCCCCTCAAAGATAAACTAAATTTATAGCCTATAAAGATATCAGACCAACCACTATAATGTTTGATCTAATCAACTGCCTATTTATTTATTTATTTATTTAAAATCCTCCCATGAGGATATTTTTTCCATTGCTTTTTCAGAGAGTGGAAGGGAGGGAGGGGGGCAGAGAGAGAAAGAGAGAGAGAAAAACATTGATGTGAGAGAGACACATTAACTGGCTGCCTCCCTCATGTGCCCCGACTGGGGCGGGGAGCGAACCTGCAACCCTTCAGTGCAAGGTTGATACTATAACCATTGAGCCACATTGGCCAGGAATTGCCTAGTTATTTTGTACATAGACTTTTTCTTTTAATAGTTATTTGACAATGCAACTTGAGATGCTTTCTGAGAATACTTTCCTGCCTAGTAGGGGCATGAAATTAGTATTTTTAAAGATGACTGTTTACTCTCGAAATGTAAAAAGATAAAGTGGTACTTATAGAAATGGTAAAGAGAAAGTCTGTATGGACAAAATAGTGAAACTCTATCCACACTGGAAGTCAAATTAAAGCACTTATCCTTAAAACAGAAGTATTACATATTTTATAATTAACCACATACTAAATTGCTAGGTATTTAACTGAGCTAGATAAATGAATCAGATATTTGGCCTGTGGTAAACTTGGAAAAACAATTTCTGTCTCCAAATTCTTAGTTCAAACTTCAATTTCTAAGTCTGCATTGTGCATTTCCCTTTGATGTGACCTATTTTCTGACAGGATAGGGTGAGGAGCCTAATTGTTAAGAACATAGTATTTTAAAAGATAAATACTTGGGGCTTATCTTATATTGTCTGGAGTTTTATTATTCAACATATAAAAATGAATTAGAACCATTAAATGAACTATTCTTTGAAAGCCACTGGAATGAGTCTACTCAGCCAGCACTACAACAAGAATTAAGAAAAGCAATAATGAATTTAAGCTGCGCAATTCCTTAAATGTCAAAACAAAAATCTATAAAGGTAAAATTAATAACTGTTTTGCTGAATAGGTGAGATGTTTTAAATTGTAACTTTAAGAAAATGGAAAGCTACAAATTTTTAAAATGTAAGGCAGGAAGTTTTTTAAAATTCAAGGTATTATAAGTAGGTATTCTGGAAAAACTGGCAATTCCAATGACCTAAGAGGAAGAAGCTCACATTCTTCTTCCTAGTAACTGAGAACTTCCCCAAGGAAGCACCATAGTTTGTTCTCTGAGAAGAAAGACTAGTGGCAATTAATTCTGTGTCTCCAACTGTGCCACTGACTCAACTGTGTGGTATAAGGCACAGTCCACTCCTCCACTGAACCTCAGTTTTTACATCTGTAAAAGTGGAAAATGATATTTGTGCATGTCAAAGGGACATGTGAATTATCTAATGAATAATTATATAAAGCAGTAAACACATAAAACTGTATATAAATGCTATATAGTATTACTAGTTTAGATGAAGAAACAGGCATCAGAGGAAAACAATAATTAAAGACCAATAAAGGTAAATGTAGCTTGGCAGGAAAACAAATTGACTTTTGGAGTTAGGAGTCAGAAATCCTCCTGAGCCACAGGACTGAAAAGAACCTGAGTGCCATGGTCTGGAGAGTCCCCCAAAGCATGGTAAAGATCAGATATTTCTATAACTCTAGAATTCTAATCCATTTTTAGCTGGAATCACATTTTTATGGTCAAGTAATTCTTTTCCATGGACAAGTAAAAAAAATTTTTCCTCTAGAACATATTTCTCAGAATTAAAATAATCCAGTAAACAGAAATACAATTCTTCAAGGCACAGATATTTGTTAATGTTCATGTACATGTACACACATACACACAGTACCTCTGTACATACACTCACATGCAGCACATACACACACACACTCTCAAATGCCAACAAGTCCATTAAATAAAATGTAGTGTAATAGGAATGGAATGTTGACACAATTAAAGGATTTGAACTGGATAACTCATTACAAATGCTTTATATGTAGACTTTAACTTTTCCAGAATAAATATTCCTTATTTAAATAGTGAAATTATCATGTAACATGGAACAAAAGGTGGGTGGGTAAATTGGTTTACAGAGCAACTGTGTTCTGTCTGCAGGTTTTATCACAAACAGCATGGACTCCACAGATAATACTTGGGTATATATTTTCAAAGTCTTAGCCTTCTCTATACGTAATATGCTCTTAAACCACAAGGGAGACCGCCTTCCACATGTGGGTTTCTAAAACTAAATATGATGATTACTATACTGTGTTCTTCCAGTATGTATGTAATTACCCAACAGAAGTTCAGTCTCCATAAGACACATTTCATAACAGTGGAAACTAACCTTTAAAAATATAAAGGTTCTATATGTGACTCATAAAGCAACTACAAAACAAATATCCTTATAAGCACATCTATCATGAATGGTATATTACACCCATAATTGTTCAATTCACTGTTAATTATTACTCAGGAATTCGTGTTTATGGCTCTATTTCACCTGCCATATGAAAACATATTCCTGCTATCTTGTTCCTTAACTTCCTGAATCAATATACCCTGGCTTAGCCATACAAAAGAAGTTGACAATGTACTCTTTTCTTCTTAAACTGCTAGTTATGAATAAACCGAAAACTGACAACAGGAAATAAAATTTATGCTAATTCTTGTTTCCATGCTTCCTTCAGTTCTGAACTAAGATCAAACTGTATAATGAGCCTGTCCCTTGTAGCTTGGTGGAGGAGAATTAACAGTATCGCCTTTAGAACAAATTATCACTTTAGTGATAGGGGAATTTAAAGTAGTTAAATGTTAGCTTTAAGCATGTTTATAATGATTTCATTTTAGTGCATATTTACTTTAACCTTTCTAGACACTGACTACATTATATAACTAGCTAAATTTGCAAGCTGTGGGTGTGATATAGTGGTATTGTTTTATTTTCTAAGAAAATGATAAAATTATTCAGTTCTTTAAAGAATTTTATTGTATAAGCTGGAGAAACATTTTAAAAAACAATAAATTAATATAAATATTCTTTACTATTAAAATCAACAGCCAGCAAAGAGGAATAGGAATTTTTAAGGAACATAATCTCTTAGTAATCTTTTCTTGGAGGGGTCATCTAATGTTTAAATTTTGAATTAATGAAGGACAAATGGAAGAAACATTTACCAAGTTTCTTCCATGTGCCAGATGCTTTGTATGTTACTTCATTTAATTTTCACAACTACCCCTTGATGTTCACATTAATATCTCTATTTTACAGACACATTTACCATGAGAAAAGAAACCTGGCTGATGTGTATTAAAAGCCCAGGATAATTCCACTACATTTGAAATGTTATCAGCTCAGAGTAGGGGTGATTAGATAGAAGAACTATGACCTATCTTGTCGTATCAGACTTGTTGACTGGGTTTTTTTATGGCATGACATCATTTCATTTATGTCATCACGGTACACCTACAGCATCTCAAAGGCCATAATGAAACTACTGAAAGCAGCTTAATTTTCCACCTAAAAGGTAGTTGCTTTGCTTAAGAGCAAGCTTTCATATTCTATGAAATATTAATTCAGAATGTAATAAAATATCATTAAATAAATTTATAAACACAATAAATGTACTAAAATATCATACAATAAATTTATGAAATATCATACATAGCTTTAAAGGACTCAGATGTTTAGCACACTTTTTTTTTGAGTAAATTCCATAACTGGCAGAGATTTTATGATCATTGTTGCTGTTATTAAAGGAGTCCTGTGAACACATTTTGAGAAATGTTATTTCTCATTTATAAGGTAATTTCAACATAAAAACTTGTTAAGCGGGGTGGAGGGAGTCAATGGTAGGGGGAAGGAAACGTGTATACTTTCAACAATAAAGATAAAAAATTTGTTAAATGTAAGATAAATGCTAATAATATCAAACATCTGTAAAGCCTTTATAATGCATAAGCACAGCGATATATACATTACAAACATTATATCACTTAATTAATCTTCAGAATAATCATATAAATTAGGTGCTGTCAGTACCAACCTCATTTTACAGATAAAAAAATGGCTATACTGTCCAATACCATAGCTATTAGCCACAAGTGGAAATTAAAATTATTTTAATTTAAATAAAATAAAAAATTTAGTCTCTCAGTAACACTAGCCAAACTTCAAATGCTCAACAGCCACACGTGGCTAGTGGCTATCATATTGGACAGCACAGATGTAAAATACTTTTATCATTACACAAAGTTCTACTGAACAATGAAGGTTTAGAGGGTTCCAATGACTTACTCCAATTTAAACCTAAGTACTGAGCTAGATTTGAGCCCATGCAATTTATTTGCAGAGCCTGTACTTCCCTTTAAAACCTGTTTGTTTTTTTAAACTTTATTATGAAATATTTTGAAATAAGAGAGACAGTATAATCCCCATGTATCTATCATCCAGCTTCAATAATTATCAATTCATTAATGCCCTTTTAACCATTATTCTACACTACTTTTTTGCTTCTCTTCCTTAATTATATTAGTTAATGAAAAATTATCCCTTCTTCAGAATGGAACATAGGGAGGCAGCATAACATAATGGTTAAAGGCACAGAATGAGAAAGCAGACAGATCTGGATGCAAATTTTGGCCCCACCACAAAGTATTCTGTTCTTAGAGGAAAAGTTTCTTAATTTCTCTGGGATTGAATTTGCTCATCTTTATAATATTCTTCTCTAGTCATCTATTATTTTTCTCTATATTCAACATTTTCAGCTATCTTAATTCTTAAATTGTTATCTAAGATAAAAATTCAAATACATGTATTTGAAGGTAATTGTGAAAGAGGCATTTTTCCCCATGGGCTTTTTAAATAGCCCACTCCAAGATCACAAAGGTAAAATGACTCAATACAAAATTTCAAGTGTAACAGATACAGCACAGAAAGAAAAAATTTTATTTGGGGTTCTTTTCTCAGTTCTGCTAAGATAACCAGGTACCCAGTAAATGGTAAAACAGAATCTATTGCCCACAATAGCTATTTAGAGAACAACTGTTTAATAAATTCATTTGATTAATTTATTAATGCTGGTTTATATATATTCTACATATAATTTTAACTTTAAATTCAATCTAGAAATAAATTATTTATGTTGACATTTAGAGCATAAATGTGATTTTAAATTATTTCATCAAATCATCAAAAAATTTATACCAGGAGTAAAGTTCTGGACCAATTATTTTGGTTGGGGTAGAAATGAGAGAAGATAATTATTCTGATTCAACAACAACAACAAAACACTCATACTTTGGAGTTAATAACCAATAGTTTTATATTTTTAGTTATATACCTTAGGAAACCTGGATTTATTTATTATTTTTAAAATATATCTTTATTGATTTCAGAGAGAGAAAGAGATAGAAATGTCAATGATGAGAGAGTCATTGATCAGCTGCCTCCTGCACGCCCCGCCACGAAGAATCGAACCTCGATCTCCTGGATCCTAGGTCAATGCTCAACCACTGAGCCACGCCTGGCTGGGCAGGAAGCCTGGATTTAATAACTGTCTTTTCCATGTTGTTTTCCAATTCCTTAATTTAACAATTTCCATTCCCATCTAATTCTCTGCTTCAACATTTATAAATAGGTGCGTAACTTGCATATCAGAATAATTTATTCTAATAATCTTCCAATCTAATAACAAGCCAATCAACCAACCATCCACAAGTTAAAACCTCTTTATGTAGAGCATCATTCTTTAACTGCAATTTAAAAAGACTAAAATGATCACACAGATGAGCACGTAAACAATTTACATAATTATTAAATGGAGCTAGTTTTATGGATAAGGTGTCATGTATGAAAACAACTTCTATCTAAGGAAGTGAAATAAATTTATTTATTTACAATTAGGTTAATTCCTGGGTTACTTAAAGACTCCAGGGAAGAAAAGCCTAAAAATTCCTTGGCGAAGTCAATATGAATTGAAGTAAACGTATACATTTTGTGTTTAAAAAAGTAATGTTGACTTCACAAATAGCATCTGGTTGTATTCCTCTTCTCCCTTCGGTCAACTTGCAACCACTAAAGATACCGAGGGGATCAAGGAGAGGACAGTTGTCATGTGGGCAGAGTGCTTTGTTAAAAGTGTAGCACTTTTACGTCCAGGCTAAAACTTCTGACCATAAAGTGGAATATGAACACCTAATGTGAGCTGAACAAGTTTTTCTTTTTTTTCTTTCTTCTTAATCCTTACCTGAGGATATTTTTTCCATTGGTTTTTACAGAGAGTGGAAGGGGGGGGAGAGAGAGAGAGAGAAACACCGATGTGAGAGAGACACATTGATTGGTTGCCTCCCATATGCGCCCAAACTGGGGCTGGGAATTGAACCCGTAATCCCTCCATGCGCCAGCCGATGCTCTAACCAGTGAGTAAAACTGGCCAGGGCTGGCCTAGTTTTTCTAACAGAAATTCAATACTCATTACATTTAAGACCACCATAATTTAAAAAAATTTTTTCTTCACAATATACAAACCAAATTCATCTATAGCAGCATTGTTTACAACATCTTTTATTATTCAAATAAAAGATTTGTAGATGGTTTACCTGACATCTTTCTCAAGCTGTGCAATACACTCCTTTAGTGAATCAATCTTAGAATCTCTCTGACGCACCGATTCAATGAGATACCGGTAAGGTTGTTGAGCTTGGTTTAACAGAGAATTGGCCCTGTCAAGCTAAAAATAAAAAAAATATTTCATTAAAATCTAGAAAATTTTTACAAGAAAATAAAAGTATTCAAAATGCCTTAGCACAGTTACAGTAAACCAACTCTCTCTCTGAAAAGCTTTTCCTGTGTAAATTGGAAAGTTTAAAAAATTATTAATCAATAATTTTAAATAAAATATTGTTTCCAATTCTGGGGAAGGGTTACCTACATTTCCTTACCATCTGTTGGTCTGAGAAGCTATGTGACATAAAATTTCTTTTCTTTTAATGAATATCCATTAGCTAAAAATGAAAATCTTTTATTTGAGCTTTATTTTTATTCAAAATAATATAATCACAAAGTTTCATAATTTTTTTCAAGCCTTCATATTTCCTTCCATCTCTATTTGTAAAATAGAAATTTATGTACCTAAATCACTAGGTATAATGAAAAAGTAAAAAAAAAAAGTAGTTAAAATATAAATAATAAAATTTACCATTTTAACCATTTCATTAAGCACATTCACAGTGTTGTGTAACCATTGCTAGTATCTATTCCCAGAACATTTTCATCAGCCCCAAAGAAAATCTCTACTCATTAAGTCAAAACATTTCCCTCACCCACCACAGCTCCTGGAAACCTCTATTCTAACTTGGTGTCTTTGTGAACTTGCCTACTCTAGGTACCTCCTCTAAGTGAAATCACATAATATTTGATACTTTACGTCTCCTTATTTCACTTAATGTAATGTTTTCAAGGTTCATCCATGTTGACCATGTATCAGAACTGTATTCCTTTTTATGGCTAAATATATTCCACTACATGTTTATAGCACATTTTGTTTATTCATTTATCTATTGATGGATATATTTCAGTTGTTTCCACTTTTTGGCTATCGTGACGAATGCTGCTATGAATGTGTTTAAGTATGCAATACGGTGTATAAGTGACTGAGTCCCCATCTTTAATTCCTTTGGTTATCTATCTAGGAGTGAAGTGGAATTGCTAGGTCACATGGTAATTCTATATTTAACTTTTTGAGGAACTGCCAATTGTTTTCCACAGCGGACACTTCATTTGACATTCCTACCAGCAATGTACATGGTTCCAATTTCTTGACTTCCTTGCTGAAACTGCTATTTCATGTGCTTATTGGCCATTTGTCTATTTGAGTCTTTTGCCCATTTTTTTAGTAGGGTTTTTTTTTTTTTGAGTTGTAGGTTTTCTTTATACATTCTGGATATTAAACCCTTATTAGGTATATTATTTCCAAATAGTCCTGTTTCTGTGGTGTGTCTTTTCATGATGTTTTTGATCACAAAATTTTTTACATTAATGAAATTTAACTTACCTATTTTTTCTTTCGGTGCTTGTATTTTTTTGGTGTCATTTAAAAGAGACCACTGCCAAATCCAAGGTCGTGAAGATTTTCTCCTATGTTTTCTTTTGAGTTTTATACCCTGAGTTATGAAATTTAGGTCTTTGGTCCATTTTGACTTAATTTTTATATACAGTGTGAAGTATGGTTCCAATTTCACTCCTTTACATAGAAGATGTGCAGTTTTACTAGCATCATTTGTTGACAAGACTGTCTTTTCTCCATTGTATGGTCTTGGCAACCTTGTGAGAAACCATTGACTGTATGTGAGGGTTTATTTCTGGGCTCTCTACGCTATTCCATTAGTCTATGTCTATCCTATGACAGGACAACATTGTTCTGATCACTGTAGCTTTGTAGTAAGTTCTGTTATTAGAAAGTTTGAGCCTTCCAACTTTGTTTTCCCTTTTCAAGACTGTTTTGCCCATTCAGGGTCCCTTGAAATTACATATGAATTTTAGAATGGATTTTTCTATTTCTGTAAAAAATGCCATTGGGATTTTGATAGGAAATGCTCTGAATGTGTAAATCATTTTGGGTAGTATTATCATCTTAACAATGCTGTCTCCCATGAACATGGAATGTCAGTCCATTTATCAGGTCTTCTTTACTTTAGTAATGTTTTGTAGTTTTCTGTGTACAAGTCTTTCTACTGCTTGATAACATCTTAAGTATTTTCATTCTTTTTGAGGCTATTGCAAATGGAATTGTTTTCTTAATTTTCTTTTTGAATTGTTCACTTTTAATATACTATGTACAATTTTATACTATGCCATTTCACTTTACCTTATATCATACTAATTTTTCTAGGTTGTTGGAGTACCTTAATTTATATATACAAATATATACATACATATGTATATATATAATGTATATTTTTATTGATTTTAGAGAGAAAGGAAGGGGGAAAGGAGGAGAGAGAGGCAAACATCGATGTGAGAAACTGATTGGTTGCTTTCTGTAAGTGCCCTGACATGGGACCAAACCCACAACCCAGGCATGTGCCCTGACTGGGAATGGAACCGGCAACCTTTTGGTGCACAATACGATGCTTAAGCAACTGAGCCACTTGGGTTGGGCCTTAATTTACATTTTGAATGGTTGGAAAGCTGTCTAGTATGCTAATGTGCTATAATTTAATTACACCACTCATAGTAATAAACAGAATGGTTCCGATTTTTGACTAGTATAAAAAATGTAACAACAAGCTTTTCTGTATTGTAGATATTTTTTCTTAAATTAATATTTTCTTTGTTCAATTTTCTTTCAGAACATAAAATGGGTTACGGGATATGACAATTTAATGATCTTGACATATAGACCAAAGTTCTTTTTCTAAAGGATTTCATCAAATGATATACCCAAATCAACCTTAGATTTTTTTTGTTTATTTGCATTTGCTCTATTTCCCTAAGCAAATGTAAAATATATGTCAGTATACTGGCTAAACATAGCACTCCCAGTATTAGCAGGACCCTACTTTGGTACACAATGAGCTCTCAAAAACCATATTCTAATGTTGGATATGCAAAAACTGAACAATCACAACAAAACTGGGTTCCATTATAAGTATTAGGTGATAGGTGAGGGAGTATTTTATTATACAGAAAAAAATATTATAAAATTCCAAACTACTATGACCATAAAATGTTCTTTGACAATAAAACTCTAGCTTTTTATACGTTTAAACATTTTCCTCCCCTTTCCATCATAACTCTTAACAAGTTCAATAGAGGCAAAAGACTTGCTGCTTTTCTGGAACAAGAAATGACTTATATTTTTTTCTCAAATGAAGTACAAGATCAACATTTAAAAAATTAAGATCTAAACATATTTATTTTAGCACTGCAATCTTTTTGTTTTCTGCTCACCTAAAAAAAAAAAAAAAAAAAAAAAAAAAAAAAAAAAAAAAAAAAAAAAAAAAAAAAAAAAAA